GCACACGTACATGTACATGTACACGACTGTGCATATATGTACATGTATGCCACCAGTATAACGTGTGCATGTAACTGCAAATGTACATTGTATATGTGTACCGGTATGTGTACTGCATATTTAGCCCAAAATGCAGAAAGTCTACACTTTACCAGTTTCAAGAATCCAAATGCCAAAAACTCCCCAAAAAACCGAAAAACAAACAAGTGCGTGAACAAAGTACATACAGGTGCATGTAAGACAACCCAAATGTACATGTACAGTTGTACAAATGGTGACCAAGATTAGAGTATCAATTTGACAGGCTTGTCAATGGTTACGTACTTCGGCATGTTAGGATGGGTCTTTCCACATCAGGAGGACAAAAGCATGGCATACAGTGTACACGAACATGTACCATAGGAGTGGAAAATAAATCAGAATAATAGCATAAAGCTACATGTACATTGTGTACATGTTTTTATCTTCTTTTCCCCTCATAAATATAGGGGCCTACTAGTATGTTCCCACACCATTGTTGAGGGTTGTTGCTCACAAAGAACTTGCCAAGTAATAAACGTGCACATTTGTTTAGAATGCTACATGTACATGTACATACCGGTACACGTACACACATGTGCAATACATGTACAGCTATACATGTACATGTATACCGTGCATGGACAGAAAGTATATTCACATTAAATTTGAGGGTAAGTTATAATTCAGTAAATTATGTACATTTCCCCCAAAATTGTGCTTTTTCCTTCTGATCCCCTGAGCAATATTACCTGTAAAACCAAGACAACTGAATAATAACTACATGTGCACATGTACTGTACATACCGGTACATGTATGTACTGCATGCCTGTAATGTTAATGTACATACAGTACCAGAGCATAATTCAACATGGATAGAAATTAGTCACAGAGTTTCTGTCCACATTACACCCATTATACATTGTGCTTAAATTATTTTGGCCGTTATGAATAAAAATGAGATGATATACTGTAGGTATTTGGGTAAATTTCTGCACATAATAAAAGCATATATACTGTCCATTTTTTTAAAGCAAAAATTCTGCCTACCGGTACATGTACATGTATGGTACAGTACTTTAACTACTGTATGTTACAAGCAAACATGTACATGTAGTAAATGTTTTAAGCAACCTTTGCATTTTCTAAAGGAACCTGTACAGGTACAGAGAAACTTTGAGAAAGTCCACAATATTTTTTGACAGGATTATTATAAGGGCGCATTTATGTTCAGGGAAAAAAATGAACACAGTATCTTGCTGCACCTTACCGGTACAATCATGTACCGGTACCCTCCAGTGGCCCCCTTTCAAAACCTACCGGTAAATTAGCTACATTTACATGTATCCATTACACCTAGGCATTAGTGTGGAAGTGCCTAGACACCGGTATAATGTATGTATCCCTAACATTACAAAGCTTTCACGGTAACATGCATACGGTATACATTCATATGTACATGTACATGTACACATGTAGATACCAGATACTGCTTTTGAGTTCATGTGTTGGGTTCAAAACTGTACTGTACAAGCACAACGTGTCTCAACTTTTTTTCTAGGCATAGGGATAATTCTCATTGGGATGGGTGTACATCTGTCTGTTCCCAGTACATGTACATCCCACTGCAAACGTGTGCAGGAACTTCATATGCAAGTGCACATACATGTACCATGCAGTACTGCCAATACATGTACATGTAGTTGTATTCTATTCAGAGTTAACCTCTCACCTTAAAAACAATGAAAGTGAGTGATAAATACTATTTGGTGGTACAGTCATTTTCAATATTATACTGGTCAAGGGCAATTAACCGTGCAACTACTGATGCGTGGCGCATAATCTGTCATAATTGTATAGCCTTTCAACACACTCCCTGGGAGTACTACATCCATGTAGGATAATTATTATCAATTTACAATGAGCTGCTCCCATCTTTCTGATCGCATTGAGAGCTTTGTCATAAGTCATTACTGAATTTTCACTGGGTTTAATTCCTCTCCAACTGAGAAAGTTGCAAAGCTTTGTTATAAACTGCATCCTACATTTCTGCCGAATATTTCTCTCTTTTTCATGATTTGAAAAATGAAAATAAAAATTTAGGGAAATCCAGTTTGCAAGTTCGCACTTGGTCTGAATCCAATCTCATGAATACAAAGAAACTAGACAAAGAGTTGTCACATATTCTGGGCCAACTAAAAATTCATTTTTGCATTTGGGTCATTCTGAAAATTTGGGATCCAAATGCATGATTTTTTTGGTGTCCCCGTTACACCTGCAAGTTGACACAGAAATATCATTGAAATTGGCTTCAAACTTTATTTGTTTGGTACGTTATTTGCATTGAAAAATGTGTTCTAAACTTACAAATCATGCCAAATGTGACAGGAACATGATCAAAATTCAACCTCAAATTTGACATGTAAGGGCCTACTGGTACCCAATCATTCAGTGCTGAGCCTATAACAAAAAGCAACAGTCCCTTTTGGGAGGCTGGTCAAATTCAAATTACCTTTATTATCTGTAATCTGGTGATCAGTGCTCAAAATACATGCAACAGTGTTGAACTTGGCACGCGCTATGGCAAAGTGTGTATTATGTGTGCCGTTTTCATGAGGAGACCAAAGATCACACAAATTTTAGCATTTCACGAACAGACAATCTTGTTTGTTTACAAAATAAACAACTTTAACTTCTAGAAATATTAGTTTTGTAGTTTTGTGTCATGTACATGTAACATCACCTCTTTTATGGTGTAGCATTGGTGAATTTAAACGAATGCTAAATTCTAGGAAATTAAGCGTTTGAAAAAAAAAGACCAACTTCAAATGCGATTTTCTCAAAACCTACATGTATGTTTTGCAATCCAATGAGAAACTTGTCTCTTTGTGAAAACTGTGACAAAGTTATCGCTTTCTGACTGCAGATACAAAGTACATGTACGTGTACCTGCACAGGAAAAACTGAGTGCTATTTCACTCAGTACATGAATTTTGATTTCTGATCTTATATTTCGAATTCGAAACCACCTACATGTAAGGTGTTTGAACAGCAACATTTAAAAAAGAATCTAATATTGAGATGCAATTTAGTCGGTGATCATACATGTACTAAAAACTATGGCATGGCATCAGGACACAAGTTTTGTCTGTACACACGAACACCATTAATTTTCCCTTGCATGTAGTGTATTAGCCATTAGCAAATGAAGACGGGAAGATTTTAACTTAATACCCCACCGGTAAAAAGTTTACAACAGACCTATTTGTTCTTTGCAGAATACCAGTACCAGTAACTTCTACATGTGGCACGGCAGAACTAAGTTTGGGGGACATTCACCCAGACAATCCTTATAAAAAAGAATGAAAAACGGAATCTTGTGATAAGTACATTATGCAATACCGTGCCATGTCGGAACTTAAACTGGCCATGTGTTGTGTACATGTACCAGTACGTGTGCTGGTCTTAAGTTACCAGTAGCTTAACATCAAATATTTTGCGGCTCAAGCCAAAGAATGGATGCTGCCATGAGACTTACCACATGCATTTTTATAATTTCTGGCTAGCTCTACAAAATAGGCAAGTATCAGATAAAATACATGTATCCGCTTTTAGCCATGTTACCAGCCCGGTATCACAATGGATGCGATTTTCTGTAAGTTGTTGTGTACACAACTTGTGATGTTTTTGTGTTTGGAAATGATTATACACGTAGTTACAAACGTCTAGGGAAACCTGAAGAAGAATTCCACTTTCTACTACGTACCTTTTAAAATTGAATGGAATATTCCACAAAGCAGTCACACCTTTATTTATTTAAATATGTTTTATTATGATTAATATATTCCTATTATACTAAAAGACAAGCACTTTTTTTTACGTTAAAGTAAAACAAATTGATCTCTTCCTGCAACAACCCACTTGGCTGAGCGGTCAAGACTGAGGAGCTGAAAATCAAGATTTACCGAAGTGAAAGTGGTTAAAATCCCAACCTGGAAGGAAGAATACATGTACTTGTGAAGAAGTGATGATATCAAGGAAAGAGAGAGAAATGGACAGGCATAAAGGGGACGGAAAGAAGATGCATGTAAGAGACCAGGGGAGAGGTGGGAGCAGGGACACCCTTTTCTTTGCTTATGAAAGACCAGTCCCTTTTCTTAATATCCCCTTTTCCCAACCCTTACCTCCCAACCCAGCCACCACATCATATTGGTGTGTATTCATACTTTTGATTATTCTTCAAACTGGGGCAGAAAAAATGCCAAAGTTTTTGTGGCATTATTATAAATTAAAATCTTTCTGCAATAACATGTCCTAAAAATAAAGTCTTAGAAGTGAAAATGTTGAAGCATTTACTTACAGAACATTTACAATTTCCAGGGAAAGAGTTCCACATACAGACAACACTTGATGCCCCTCTGTGCACAAACATATCACTGAGACTTGTCCTCCTAAGTGTTTTCTAAATTCTAAGTAAATGCTTAGGATATTTCTTGGAAAATTTTTACTTTTTATGACAAGTTAACACTTTCCGATGACTGTTATAACACTTTAAGGGAAAATTTGTGTTATCCGAATAGAACTCTTCTTTTCTAGACCAGTCTCAGAGGGTTTGTAAGGCCTTAAGTCTACACAGGCACGACAGGGTGTTATGTCAATATGTGACAAGTGATGTCCGTATGGAACTCTTTCCATTTTTTCCCAAAACTGTCAGACTCTTTTGTATACATGTAAAATTTACTAGGTCCAGCTCTGGTTCACGAGGACATTCAGGCAAATAGACATCACAAAACTACAACGCAAGCCTGCAGGCCTTCCGGCATGCGGCAGTGCACCACAAATTGCCGTACTGTCGACTGTACATACATCTTCCGTCATGTTAGCGTTAGTCATAACGTGACAAACACAGATCACACAAAAATAACCACAGGCGTTGGCATGGTTGGGCAGTTTGTTCCAATTTCGACGCAGAAATTCCTACCTGTGTCACAAGGGGAACCAGTGTCTGCTCTATCGATTTCGTCTTTATTTCCAGGTTTTTGGAGTCAAACTTTGGAGCGGTAGCATTCGCTCTCAAGGGGCCGGCAGTCGCCATCTTTCGATGTGTCAATCCGGTGAACGGCTCATCATATACCACGCTAAAGCCCGAACACGTACACAAGCGTGTGGGAGAAATTTATTACATAACGTATAGTTGGTGTTATGTTTCGTACTCGATTCCGAAAATGATAAAAGTCCTATTTTTGCACATTACTATTTTTGTAATCATACATACTCAAAAGAAGTTTTAGGTTGATGGAGACAGTGTGTATTAGTTTGTGTATTCCTCAGGTGTATGACACGAAATATCCCTTACAATGACGAACCTTTGCTGAAGGCGTTATTGAACACGCCCCCTTTTGGCGGTATGCAGCTGATGAGGACCGATACCGCCTTGAGTTGAAGTGCACCCTCACCGGCGCAAGAAAGACAGAGGGTACTATCCGAAGTTTTCCAGGCAGGAAGTATTCTCTTCTACAACGTGAAAAGAGAGAATAGCATTGGTGAGAAATATGCTAAATGACGTTCATCACCAAGGTCATCTGCTTCCTCACACTTTGGCTCTGTCGTAACCGTTTCAAGTTGTTTGTTTTTGTGGGCCGCCTTGAACATGGTCTTGGTTACTGCTTTGAAGTCACAAACGCGTTCCTGGTGAGGGCACACCAAAATACATCCAAGAATAACTAATTCTACTGAATCCGAGGTGACGCAATAACTGCGTGCCCTCCGTCCCAAGACGACCTGTGACGTTTGTCGTGATGGAACGTGGTTCGCCGATGAGAACGCTAGAGCTCATTGGCTAGGTTCGGGCCGTTTGTTTTCGTATGTTCACGAACAGCTCGGTTAGTTGTTCGTGGGTCGGTCGCTTGAACGCTAGAAACGTACAACCGGTTATCTGGGTATTGGCAAGTATAACATGGCGGTATTCATGTACGTTCTTCGAGGGGTAATTTTTGAATGACTGGGCTGCATTCTTTTCATTTAAAAAGTAACATTCATTTCTACGTTATGGAAAATTTATCGTGTTAATGTTGCAAAACTTCCCATTGTCTCAGGCTTTGTAAGTTATCACAATCTCATGAATTTTTTTGTGTGTGTTCCTGTAAAGCACAGTCGAGGAGGTGGTGTAAGATGCTGTTCCGAGAACAGTGTTCTTAAGTCGTGTTCTAGAGCGCGAGAACAAGAAACCCATGTCAAGAACAGCCTACCCGAACACGACCTCGCTTCAAGCGCCGAATGCCATGAAGTTAGAGTCTGTCTTCATCTGCGTGATGTCGTGCAATCGATGGGTATTGCTTAGGAAAGGCAGGAAGTTCCCAACTATTGAGTGCTATTAGAGCTGGTTCCACGGACGGTTTTCTGTTGCGGGAGGGGGTCTCATGAGCAATGTCCACGGGAAAACTAAAGCCAACCATGGAGGTATTATGTGCCCTCTGTTTTTGTGGACCTGCGGCGTTTAAAATGGCCTGACGCCTTTGCCTGTACGCCACACACGGTGTCAAAAAATTATCAAATTAACTGTTTTGTCAGTATCCAAGTATGATCAGCATATATCCTGAGGATATGTGAACAATCAAAATAAACTTTGTAGTTTATGGACGAAACCTTTTATCTTAAAACGGTATCCCAAAATGTGGCCTTCTTATCCCCTCACTAAATTTTTATTATAGGGAATAGCACACTCTACTAGCAGATTGAGGTAACCTGAGGTATTGGGATCCCAAACGCCTTTGCCAGATCATTAATACCTAACACAACTTAATGAGCAACGTTTCCAAGGAGCAGTGCTGATAATTCAGAGTGATGTCAGTCCTTTAATACAGTTTTTAAAAAGCCTGACACGATTTCAAGGAACACAAAATGACTGTATTAATAAATATCATAAATATTAAGCAACGGATAAACACCATCACACTCACGATACTTGTGCAAATCTAATTTTGATCACGAAACGCATACTGGTACTGCCCTCGTGCGGCATGATGCCTGTCTTTGTTCGGATCCTTTTACCCCTATAAATAGACCACAGATATGTCCGCCGAGTTCATTAATAAAAGTTATATACATTCAAAGTATATTATATTAGAAAGTCGAGAGAGCCATATGGAATTGGGGAACTGAAGAAATATGGCACTACATGAACCTCTGGCCTGGACTTAGGGCTTCTAATTCTGAGCAAATTGGATACAATCGGGTCCAAAAGTGGCACTACTGACACGTTTTGCAGAGGGACGCATTTTCAATTTTTTTTTCCTGGTAGGGAAATTTCCTTCATTTTAGGGCAGATCTGCTTTTGGTGGGAATTTCTCAAAAATTCATTTGTTAACCCACTAAAAATTGAAAGGAATATGAAAGACGACATATCGAACATCATTTTTCTGTGCAGGCAGAACACCTGTGAGCGTTTCATTTTAAAAAGAGTGAATATAATTATAGACTCAGTGGGCACGGTTCAAAGAAGTCTTAATCGATATCAAAGCAAAAATTATTTTATTGCCCAACCTGCCCCTGCATGCTTATTAAACTTAACTATGATTTCACATAAGATTGATTTTTTTTTTTAATTTTTGAATAAGTGAAGAACTTTTCAGTCAGCACTCTCATGCAACAAAGCAAACAGCACATGGTGTTGAAGTGTGATGATGGGCAACGGATGCCACTTCCACGTGATTGACTTTTTTCAAAATCTGGCATGGGGTCTCTATTTGGAAACAAAACAATTCTTGATAAGCATAAGAATAAACAAAGTTGCTTTGATAAGTTAAATTTTTGAGTAGTCACAATCTTATCCTTTGAAGCTACAGTAAAATGAATATCCTAGTAAGGTTAATGAAAACAGGGCCACCACATGAAGGTCCCAGGATACCAGCCGCGCACGCTTCCGGCAATTAGCGGGCCCATTGCTGGACAGACTGGTGTTGCCCTATGGCCACAGGGGCACTATCTGCCACTGTCCGGTCCGCCCTCCCGAAGGAGAGTGCCCTTGCCTACTTACGCCCCCTCCCACCCCCGGGAAGGGGAGAGGACGTACCAGCGTCTTGCTAACCATCAATAATAACAGGGCCATGCCCCTATAGAAGAGGTCCGCGGCCCTCGACGGGAAGAACACAACTACCTGCATCTTTTCCGGCTAACAAAAACGTTGGTAGGGCTAGACGGCGTGCAAGGAACTCACCTAGTTCCTTTCTTGGTTTCGCACGTCTCACATTGGAACCCCCAGGACTCCAACTGGAGCGAGTTCCAATTTCAGCCAATTTCACATTTAAGCCCTAACGATATATGGATATAGGAGATCCCAGTCTCTGCACTTTTCAGAGGAATATAACAGATCCCACTGAGCTAGAAAAAAACTATAGTGAAACATTTCATTTCACTACTAACAAAAAGTCCCTAAGGAAGTTACGTATGCCCTAAAGATGACCTTTAGTGTGGAGCATTGCAGCAGGGACGGATCCACGGCCAAGTTCCCTAACCTTCCATCTGCACTTAAATTTTTCCTAGTTGACTATCAATTTCCAATTCATTTTCATACACCAATGAGATTTTTGATGCTGTTGCCTTGACAATCATCATATTTCTTTTCTCTCTCAAAGAGAAAATCATGGCATGTGATACTTCAGATAATTTTAACATACAAGCTCCCCAAGGAGCTGAATTATAGTTGTCTCCCCCTTCCATTGCCACCCAAGATCCGCCCCCGCATGGACATATGGATATAGCAGACCCCATAGTCCAGCTAGTCGTGTGTTGGGGATGTAGGGATATAGAAGATCCCATCACCCATCTTGAAGACATCGGAATATAGATGATCCCATAGTCCTTATAGAGTTGGACCTACAGAAAATGCTCTGAGCCGACGACCTATGCTCAACTTGGACCGATGGCCTGTGAAAGACCACCACTCCGCACAATCAAAACACATAACCCACCACTGCACAATAACAACATGTAGCTGAACCATTCTGAGAAAATAGTAACTTGAAATGATCCATTTATTTACAAACAATGAACCTTGGCAAAAATCAGAGAAATCAATTAAAATTCCGCACAAAGTTGTCAAAATCAATTCTTATTAAACAAATCAACTCTTTTTTTTAAATATTTTTTGTCATGGTAAAGGTGTCATCAAACTTGGAAATATGCTCAAAAACTGCTTTCAAAAATCTTTCTTTCAATACTTTTAGACTCCCTAAATGGTGCAGAAGCAAACTTGAACAAAAGTGTTTCAACTTTGCTTGGATATAAAAAATGAAGGATTAGTTTACTTTACCAGGCCTAGTTGCTATGATCCGGGGGTTCTGGTGTATGCTCACGCCTGTAAGAAATGGTTACCTCACCTTATGAACATGCAAGTCTTGAATTCCCCGGCCTCTATTTGTGATGACCCATCTCCTGTTGTACCGTTTCGACCAACAATCTCCTTGACCAAATCAGATGAATCCTACGATACGGGGGTTAACAGCTTGGTGAACACATAAGCTTGTCCTCTACTTGGACTGTCACTTTTTCTGGGCAGATGCTGAAACAAAATCAAGAAAAAAACCAATCAAGCACTGACGAATTTCAAAGGTAAAAAGGATAGTTAATGGCGTGATGTATGAATTGGTTTAGACAAACGTTTTTGGGTAATAACTAACCTTGTACCAAACTTCCATTTTCTTTGCATCCACTGATTCAGCTTGCTTGTCAAATTAGAGCGTGGTTGCTGTAGAAATGAAAAGGATTCCTTTTATTTAAACAGACATTTAATGAGAAAGTAAGAAACTTGGGAAATCAAGTAAAAACACAGTTTTAACTCTAACCCCAAGGGAGTTTGTAAAAGCATATATTGAAATCGGAGGATTTGGGACTGTTACCTGCATATAGTACATTTCAATCTTGACAAGGAAAAAATCTAGATATCTAGGCAAAGAATTTTAGCAGCTCAAGTTTTGTCAGGTTCTCGTGACATCTATGGGGTAAAATATTTAGTACTTCAAATTGAACTTAAAGGTGAATTTTTTTGGTACACACACTACGTGAATAGAAACTAAGTTGGAAAAATCTGATAAAATAATGTATGTGGATTTTTAAATTTTAGTTCGTTCATTATCAGATATGATACAAGTATTGGATGCTTCACCACGTGAAACGATGCTAAATGGATCACCCCGGGAGTCTAGTTTTACTGCACCATCAGATGAGGTAGTCAATAATTTGTTTTACAGCACTTCTACCACAGATTCTGATTAATTTATAAGCTATGGCCAATTACCGTATTTCATGGCATTAAAAGTTTGT